TCAGTGCATTCTTCATTGGATTTTGTAATCCTGAATTAAAGTCATTGGTATTCTACATACACCAATCAATGACGGTGTATTGACTCCTACAGCACCGGAATTACTCACAATTGCCCTAAAATCACCCATTTCCCAGTGTCTTCACTTCCATCTGGGCTTTTTTCTTTGAAACTCAAAGCATCTGATGCAATCCAAACCTTCTACAAATTGTTGCTGGGACTATCATACTTCATCTATCCAGAAGCACGACCCAAATCAGATGTAAGGAAAGTAAGAAAGAGAGGTCAGGGTTCTACAGGTGCAGCATATGACTGCAAAGCTTCAAGCATAATAATGGGTAAATCTAGTTAACCTCCTCGGCGGTATGATTCTTTCCGATTTTTTTGTGCTGAAAGCGGTACCATTTTTTTGCATGGAAATATGTAGTTTTTTATTGTAGGCTGTAATTTTTAGGAATAACTCACTAAAATCTGTCCGAACAAGAGTCTAGTAAACATCCCGGGTATGATAAAATTTGAAACACGAAATCATAAATTATAATTTAATAAATAATCATAAAAAATAATAATATAATAATAATAAATTTAATTCAATAATATAATCAAACCAAAAACACTGAAATTTGAAATACAGAGGCAAATTCGCACATCGCTGAGCAAAGTCGCAAAATCGTTTTCAGTGTCTGATGACGAATTTCCCCACAAATCATTATCACTCAATTCTGCAAGTGGTTTCTGATTTACTATCGCTGTTCTCTAGCCGGTCTAAAACCGCTTTTGACGTAAAGGGACGCTTTTTGGACGCCATGGACTTTTCTAAGTTTCCAGGCAGAAAGAACATTCAAAATGCAGGCAGGGCACAGGACAAAGCAGTAGGGACAAAATATATGTGAAATGCATTGAAACAGCAATGACAGGAAAAATGACATTTTTTTTTAAAAAATTCAAATTTCCTGCCGGTTCCGGCGCCCGTACGTCCCGACGTCACAGGGACCGGAAACACAGAAGCCGGATGCCGGCATCGGTCGGAGGAGATGTCTGGGGATGCTGTAGGGGACACATCGTGGGAGCGAAGGACAAGGTAAGCCCTGCAGGGACCCCCAGAGCAGCGCCGCATGGTAAGCCTGAGTGTAGCTCGGGGTTACCGCTCTTGGTATAGAAATTTTACCCCAAGCTACACTCGGGAATACCGCTAGGGAGGTTAAAGAATATGTAAGCCCACCATTTCGTATTCCTGATATGTGCCTCCTGTGCCATGTACTTGCATGAAAAAAGTCTCCTGTTCTCTTTGTATTGCATCCTTTGTGTGAAATCCCTGGTGTTCCCGCCAGTCCCTCTGCTATTAGAAACTGACCAAATAAGCAGGAAAGCACAGCACAGTAAGTCTTCTAGCAGTGCTGAGAACTCCAATGATCAGACTTGTCCTAACACCCACCCTGCACAGCCATTCACTGGGAGGTTCAGTGTGATGCTGTTTCTCTTCCCCCATCTCTCTGAGCTCCTTATGCAGCTGGAACATAAGGTATGCAATCACATAGAAAAAAAAGGGAAAAAGGGTATTTATCTATATCTATCTATCTATCTATCTATCTATCTATCTATCCACAAATGTTTTGCCTTTCATTTCTATTTTAAACTTGAATGTATTGTTTTACAAGGTGAGGGTTTACATATACATGTAAGTCAAAGTAAGTCCAAGCTGGCCCAAACAAGCTATTTCTCTAAGATATTCTGCCACTGGCAGCGCTTTTTCATACTGTAGTAGCATCTGCTAGATGGTTGGCATCAAAGCCTGCAGCAATGCACAGTGGTTCAGCAGCTCATGTGACCTGGATGTAAATATTACTTCAACAAATGGAACTCACACCCATTTTCAGCTGCCCACCTTCTCCCCGGCAGCATGGTAAGTCTTCTAGCAGTGCTGAGAACTCCAATGATCAGACTTGTCCTAACACCCACCCTGCACAGCCATTCACTGGGAGGTTCAGTGTGCTGCTGTTTTTCTTCCCCCATCTCTCTGAGCTCCTTATGCAGCTGAGAACATAAGGTATGCAATCACATAGAAAAAAAGGGAAAAAAGGTATTTATATATTTTTTTTCTATTTCTATCTATACACAAATGTTTTGCCTTTCATTTCTATTTTAAAACTGAATGTATTGTTTTACAAGGTGAGGGTTTACATATACATATAAGTCAAAGTCCAAGCTGGCCCAAACAAGCTATTTCTCTAAGATATTCTGCCACTGGCAGTGCTTTTTCATACTGTAGTAGCATCTGCTACATAGAGTATGCAGCTTTGTGTTCTGGCTGCCGCAACTTAATCCAGTTGAGTTGAATGCTTCTCTTTCAGAGTTTTCGCTTCTCTGCAACTGGAGTCTGTGTGATACCTGCCGCCACACCACACTTCACCTACCCACAAGCTGATGCTACTATGGTATGATTATTATTATACAGTATTTATAAAGCGCCAATAGTTCGCTCAGCGCTGTACATTATAAAGGGGGACAGAACATGTGACAGAACAATACCAATACAATGCAAAACATGAGGGGATCGAGGGCCCTGCTCTTTCGAGCTTACAATCTAGGAGATTGATAAAGTAAGTCAGAGGCAGAATAACTTAGTTATGGAAATAGTTTAATTGGGCCAGCTTGGCAAACTATTCAAAGTGAAAGGAAACTTGGACTTTGATTTAACTAGACATTCTATGAATGAACCTTTGCAGTCAGATACTGCATCTGTGGAATCCGAACTCCTTTCTTACTTCCCCTGAAAATGATTTGGGCAACGATTTGCAGAAGGGAAGGTCTGGGATGGGTTTGGGACAGCTTGGCTTTAAAAACAGGTAAATCTGAATCAGCAACACTTTTTGACCCTCCTCTATGTATTCATGAAGACTTGTCCAATCTGCAAAAAACATATGGTTGCTTGGATCCCTGAAATTTGTGATTATCAGCAGATCAAGTCAACCTGCCAATATTCAAGATCAAAAAGTTATGATTTGGATAATGGATTGGATTTGAAATGGATTGAATAATTTGTCTGAATCAGTCATTGCTATTTGTGCAACTGTTCTTATAGTGGACTACTCCCCCCCCCCTTTCCCCCCTTTAAAGTAGTTGTAAATCTCAGACATGAAACAAGAATATGAACAAAACATATCTCTCTATAGTGTGTATGTGTCTCTATCTAGAGCACTGTGTCATTTTTGTCCACTGCCTCATTCATCTGCTATAGAGTCATGAGGCATTCCTGAAGAGGTTTCCTGACACCAAGAGAAAAAGAGTGACAGGGGAAAGCACAGTCTGTGATTGACAGCCTCAGCTCTGTTCCTGTGTGCAGGAGGGTGTGTCCCTTGCCTCCAATCAGCTCTCAGAGCTCTCCTCACTGAGTGTAACTTTAGCTCCCGCCCCCCGCTATTCAGAGCAAAGGGATCCTGTGTAAATTCTGCACTTTGAATGGAAGTAGAGAAAGACAACTGTAGATAGATAGGTACAATTTATGAGTTTGTTTAATCTGTGTATCACCTACTTACAACCACTTTAAAGTGTTACTAAACCAAGGCCCCTGCATTCACTATATCTGGTCTTCCCGGACCCTGCATTCACTCTATCTGGTCTCCCCGGACCCTGCATTCTCTATATCTGGTCTCCCAGGACCCTGCATTCACTATATCTGGTCTCCCCGGACCCTGCATTCACTATATCTGGTCTGGTCTCTCCCCGGACCCTGCATTCACTCTATCTGGTTCACCCTGCATTCACTATATCTGGTCTCCCCGGACCCTGAATTGCATCTGGTCTCGGACCCTGCACTCACTATATCTGGTCTCCCCGGACCCTGCATTCACTATACCTGGTCTCCCCGGACCCGGCTCACTCCCTGGTCTCCCCGGACCCTGCATTCACTATATCTGGTCTCACCACGGACCCTGCATTCACTATATCTGGTCTCCCCGGACCCTGCATTCACTATATCTGGTCTCCCCGGACCCTGCATTCACTATATCTGGTCTCCCCGGACCTAGCATTCACTATATCTGGTCTCCCGGGACCCTGCATTTCCTATATCTGGTCTCCCCGGACCCTGCATTTCCTATATCTGGTCTCCCCAGACCCTGCATTCACTATATCTGGTCTCCCCCGGACCCTGCATTCACTATATCTCCCCGGACCCTGCATTCACTATATCTGGTCTCCCCGGACCCTGCATTGACTATATCTGGTCTCCCGGGACCCTGCATTCACTATATCTGGTCTCCCCGGACCCTGCATTCACTATATCTGGTCTCCCGGGACCCTGCATTCACTATATCTGGTCTCCCCGGACCCTGCATTCACTACTATATCTGATCTCCCCGGACCATGCATTCACTATATCTGGTCTCCCATAGTACACACAACATGGAAATGCAATTATTTTAGTAAACATAAACTGCTAAATACCTTTTCTCATCTGCAGTATATAGCAGTCTTGTGACTTCTATCAGTATTCAGCAGAGTACTGGTTAAAGCTTGAAGGAGGAGTTTTCTTTCTGCTCTAGGAGAATGCACTCTGTCTGGACAGTAGTGATTGGCCCTGTGCTGATCACATGCACTCTCCCAAGAAAAAAAAAACCTCTCTAGCAATACACACCATACTGAGCACGTACAGAGAGACTCCACATAATATGTCTTATCAGGAGGTAAGAGAGGGATACTGAAAGAGGGGGATGATCAGAGAAGACAGGATCAAACAGCATTTTTACACAATGCAGCGGATTAACACCTTAGGTTCCACAGTGAGTATAACAAGAATGCTTTACTCCATATACTGATTTTACTGTTGTAGGTTCAGTAACACACATTAATGTTGATTGAGAGAGTTTAGTTCCACACCCGGCTGGCGAAACACGCAGTATATAGAAATAACAATTTGTCTGTTATATATATTCCTATATGTGTAAGATGAAACAATGAAAGTAATTTTTTTTAATTTTTTTTTAATTTTTTTGTATAGAAATGAATATCTCTAAAGAAGTTGGCATCAAAGCCTGCAGCAATGCACAGTGGTTCAGCAGCTCATGTGACCTGGATGTAAATATTACTTCAACAAATGGAACTCACACCCATTTTCAGCTGCCCACCTTCTCCCCGGCCGCCAAGGCGCGAGTGATCATTACATTTGTCATTTTCACGCTGTCGGCCTCCTGCAACTTGGCTGCTCTTTGGGCAGCTGCACGGACAAGCAGAAAGAAAAGGTCACATGTACGAATCTTAATCCTCAATCTCACCACCGCCGACTTGCTGGTAACATTCATCGTGATGCCGCTGGATGCTATTTGGAACATCACAGTGCAATGGCATGCTGGAGACATAGCCTGCAGAATACTGATGTTCCTAAAGCTTCTGTCTATGTATTCCTGTGCTTTTGTCACTGTGGTAATCAGTGTGGACAGGCAGTCTGCCATCCTCAACCCACTGGCCATTAACGATGCCAAGAAGAAGAACAAGATCATGTTGACAGTCGCATGGTTAATGAGCGTTGTGCTCTCTCTCCCACAGGTAAACACACTTTTCTGCTGAATTTACTAGGAAATTACAGAATTAAAAGTGATGCTAAAGGCATTTTTTTTTTCAAAAATAACAAGCATGTTATAGTTACCTGCTCTGTGCAATGATGTTGCACAGAGCAGACCCAACACTCCTTTTCTTGGGTCCCCCTCCTCGCGCTCCTGGCCCACTCCTTTCCCGTCAAGTGTCCCTATAGCAAGCTATTTGCTGATATTTCTGCCAATTCTTCATAATTAAAAATGTCTTGCTTCTGGCAAGTTTTTGCAATGGTGTATCATCTACAGTCCTAAAGTCTTATAACTAACTTGCTGGATAAGACACAGACCAGCGTCAGGACAAAACTGGCACCTTACACAATAATGAAGTTTCACCAATGGCTACATTTTGAAATGTAAGCAAAATCCCTTTATTCATTCCTAATTATATTCACACAAATTCATGACTAAGGTACTTGCTTTAGTAAAGGTGGTGGAAAAATGCAAATCATTTCTTTATACCGCTGTGGCTATAATATATAAGTATGTCTACAGGACAGCTGTACTATAGAACAGACATGGCCTACATAAAGACTAAACAACATATTGGGGTTGATTTATTAAAACTGTCCCCGCAGGCCAGGGTACTTGGTGTCATTCTGGACTCCAATCTATCCTTCCAGCCCCAAGTCCAATCACTAACAAACTCGTGCAGACTCCACCTCCGCAACATCGACAAAATCCGCACGTTCCTAACCCCAGAAACCACTAAACAGCTCATCCACTCCCTCATCATATCACGACTCGACTACTGCAACTCCCTCCTCACTGGCCTGCCTCGCCACAGGCTATCCCTGCTTCAGTCAATCCTGAATACGGCAGCCAGACTCATTCACCTTTCCAACCGCTCCGTTTCGGCCACCCCCTCTCTGCCAATCCCTCCACTGACTTCCGATTGCCCAACAGATCAAATTCAAAATCCTAACACTGACGTACAAGGCTGTCCACCATACTGCCCCAAATTACATCACTGACCTAATATCCAAGTCCCACCCTACACGCACTCTCCGCTCCTCACAAGACCTCCTTCTCTCTAGTTTCCTACTCTCCTCCTCCCATGCCCGCCTCCAGGACTTCTCCAGGGCGTCACCCATACTCTGGAACTCCCTACCCCAATCCATCAGACTATCACCTACTCTCCTCTCCTTTAGGCACATCCTGAAAACCCACCTCTTCAGGGAAGCCTACCCACCCCCTGCTATTTCCCGACCTCCTCCACTCTTGCTACCACTCCATCCCCCACAGCTATTTCCTCCTGTACCACTATCCCCTCCCTCCTAGATTGTAAGCTCCAAGGAGCAGGGCCCTCGAACCCCTCGTGTATCACATTGTATTGTTATTGTACTGTCGCATGTTCTGTCTCCCATTGTAATGTACAGCGCTGAGTGAACTGTTGGCGCTTTATAAATACTGTATAATAATAATAATAATAAAACTGGATAGTACAAAATCTGGTGCAGCTGAGCATGGTAGCAAGTAAATGAATAAACCTCCCAGTAATGCTATCACTAATCTGCAGCTACAGGGAGCTCTAATGATTTCTATTTTGACCTCAGGAGACTAATGCCAACAAGCTCACATTAATCTTGGAATAAGCAAGTGAGCAACATGTGTATTCTGTTCTCCTTTTGATACAGGTTAGTCACACTTGGTTTATGCTATCTTTGTTCAGTTTTGTGTTTGTTCTGACACTTTCTTTGTTTAGTGTCCTATATGTTAGTAATGGTAGCTCTACACACTACAGACACCTCCCCAGCCTGAACCACAGGGAGATAGACCCTTCACCAAGTCACTTCATAAATATTTATATCCTCCCTCAACATGCCCGTGGTCAATAAGCTTCTCAGTAGTTGGCCAGGGGAAAAATAAATATTCAAAATCCAGCATCACAGCAGCCTCCCTGTCTCTTGCCAAGGATGCTGGTAACACCTATGGGCGGCTACCAGGAGCAGCAGCAACACTGAGCTTAGGGGAAAGCCAAGTGAGATGCTACAAATAACCATTGGTAGATTATCACCAGATAGAACTAAATTTAACTAGATTGTAAGCTCGAAAGAGCAGGGCCCTCGAACCCCTCGTGTATTGTATTGTTACTGTCTTGTCTCATGTTCTGTCCCCCTTGCTACTCACAGCGCTGAGCATACCCTTTGGCCTATATAAATACTGTATAAATAATAATAACTAGTCACCAGGTTCCACTCAGTGCCTCACCATGGGCAACCAGAAGAAGCTGAGTGCACGTGCTCAGTGTCATATCCAAGGTTGTCTTTGGGAAATAGACGTATGAGTGCTGCCAGCATTACTGCAGAGGTTGAAGGGGTGGGGGGTCAGCCTGTCAGTGCTCAGACCATATGCCACACACTGCATCAAATTGGTCTGCATGGCTGTCGTCCCAGAAGGAAGCCTCTTCTAAAGAAAGCCCACAAACAGTTTGCTGAAGACAAGCAGACTAAGGACATGAATTACTGGAACCATGTCCTGTGGTCTGATGAGACTAAGATCAACTGATTTAATTCAGATGGTGTCAAGCGTGTGTGGTGGCAACCAGGTGAGGAGTACAAAGACAAGTGTGTCTTGCCTACAGTCAACCCTGGTGGTGGGAGTGTCATGGTCTGGAGCTGCATGAGAACTGCTGGCAACTGGGGAGCTACAGTTCATTGAGGGAACCATGAATGCCAACATGTACTGTGAAATACTGAAGCAGGGCATGATCCCCTCCCTTTGGAGACTGGGCCACAGGGCAGTATTTCAACATGATAACGACCCCAAACACACCTCCAAGATGACCACTGCCTTGGTAAAAAGCTGAGGGTAAAGGTGATGAACTGGCCAAGCATGTCTCCAGACCTAAACCCTATTGAGCATCTGTGGGGCATCCTCAAACGGAAGGTAGAGGAGCACAAGGTCCTGAGGGTTAAGGCAGTTCTGGAAAATAATGGTGACCACACAAAATATTGACACTTTGGGCCCAATTTGGACATTGTCACTTAGGGGTGGATTCACTTTTGTTGCCAGCGGTTTAGACATTAATGGCTGTGTGTTGAGTTATTTTGAGGGGACAGCACATTTACATGTTATACAAGCTGTACACTGACTACTTTCACATTGTAGCAAAGTGTCATTTCTTCATTGTTGTCACATGAAAAGATAGAGAGAACTTTTTTTGGTAATTACTCATACAGAGCATGGTAACATTATGTTATTCTACGATCTGTTTATTTAACCACTTGCCGACTGTGCTATAGCCAAAAGATGGCTGCTGCGCGGTCATCCAGTTCTGGGAAGGCGTTCATGGATATGATTCTCAGTGCAGCTCCATCATCAGTTCCTTCTATCAGTGCCCATCAGTGCTGCCTCCTTAGTGCCTATCTTTTTTTTTTTCAGACTTCTCAGTCTTTTTTCATTTCTTTAGCAAAAAATAAAAAACTCAGTGGTGATTAAATACCACCAAAAGAAAGCTCTATCTGTCTAAAAAAAAAAATAAAAAATTCATATGAGTACAGTGTTGCATGACTACACAATTGTCATTAAAAATGTGACAGCGCTGAAAGCTGAAAATTGGCCTGGGTGGGGAGGGGGGAAGAAGTGAAAGTGTCCAGCACTGAAGTAGTTAAACCAGTCATCATTGCAAGATCATCTCAGTATATCAGGTAAAACAGCATTACGAAGGAGCTCTTTCCTCCGACAAACCCCCCCCCCCCCCCCCCAGAGCCATCCTGTATTCTGTACATTATTATTATGTTAAAAATGGTCAATGACTAGAAGTACACAAGCTAGCAGAACATGAAAAACAGGTCCCACAAGACAGGTGGACCACCTGCACTTTGGTGATACCAGATCACATGCTTGCAGGATTAGGCCCATGTTACCTGCAGGGAAGGTTATTATTAGGTTAGGTACGGGTATTTAGGTAAAGCGCCAATGGGGTTCTGAAGAAGATAAGGGTGCGCTGAGGTGAGGATGGGTTTCAGGTCAGCGCTGTACATTACCAAGGGGGACAGAACATGTGACAGAACAATACCAATACAATGGAAAACATGAGGGGATTGAGGGCCCTGCTCTTTCGAGCTTACAAGTCGGTTAGGTAGTTTGGAGGGGATGGTGGCACAGGAGCAGAGATAGCTGTGGGGGATCGGGGCCAGTGGTAGGAAGAGTGGAGGAGGTTGGCAAGTTAGCGGTTGGTGGGTGGATGAGTAGGCTTCCCTGAAGAGATGGGTTTTTTGGGTGCGCATGAAAGGGAGTTGAGAGTAGGTGATAATCTGATGGGTTGGGGCAGGGAGTTCCAGAGGATGGGTGACACCCTGGAGAAGTCCTGGAGGCAGGCATGGGAGGAGGAGACCAGGGAACTAGAGAGAAGGAGGTGTTTTGAGGTGCGGAGTGTGCGTTATGGGTGGTACTGGCGTGTGGATATTAGGTCGTTGATAGTAGTGATCGGGAGCAGTATGGTGGACAGCTTTGTAAGTCAGTGTTAGGATTTTGAATTTGATCCGTTGTGCATCCAATCGGAAGCGATGCCAGTGGAGGGATTGGTGAGTGGGGGGTGGGAGTAAATTTGGGAGCAGTTGGAAGAGGTGAATGAGTCTGGCAGCCGTATTCAGGATGGACTGAAGCGGGGATAGCCAGCGGCGAGGCAGGCCAGTGAGGAGGGAGTTGCAGTAGTCGAGTCGTGATATGATGAGGGAGTGGATGAGCTGTTTAGTGAGTTTCTGCCAAGGGGTGTTAGGAACGTGCGGATTTTGGCGATGTGTTGCGGAGAGGTGGAGTCTGCAGAATAATGGCCAGAGTTTGTTAAAGTCGTTGGACTTGGGGCTGGAAGGGGATAGGTTGGAGTCCAGTGGATCAATGACTCCAGTGAGTACTCTGGCCTGCGCTCAAGGGTGGGTTTGAGGGTGGCGTTGTTGGATGTGACGGAGTGGGGTCAATGGGGGGTGGTGTCCGGGCTGGGGGGAAGACAAG